CTAAATTCAATCATATTCAGCTTTCTTAGCATCATACACATCAGCAATTCTCAATCTTTCTTGAGTCCTCACTGATTCTTTTGGAACAGACTCTTTCCTTCTCCTCACTGCAGCCCATTTCCATCCTCATATCCTATCTTCCAGATTTTGTTGCTTATTCCTCACTTTTCAAATCAAATCACCTCCCCCAGCTGTAGTAGCACTGGTATGTGGCCCAAGCTAGTAAACCTGTAACAGCTTATTAGCTTGGTATCCAGTCTACACCACCCTCATCTCACCTCTTTATGTTAGCATATCTCATTTCCTCACTGGCTGAGAGCTGTCACACAAGAGGACGATAGCAATGACAGAAGAAAACGAAAAGCTTTTGTGTAGCATTCTTCCTTATCCAGAAAAAACATGCTTTCTTTTCTTGACCCCCTCACCTTCATTTTTCTTTCTAACATTGTCTGACTTCACACAAGAGAAATGGTGACAAGTGCAACTGTTTGATATGCTGGCTTCAGAATTCTCATATAGAAAAGGATAAAGTTTGCTATGCCAGTATCCAGAAATATAATAGGTGTCTAGCCACGTGTACATTTACTGTGTCAGTCTGCTGCAAATGCAAAAAGATGAATTTTTCTTTTTTTTTTTTTTTTTTTTGATACAGGAATCACCCACTGAACTGGATGCTACCAAAATCACCAGCTAATAAAGCAGCCATGCGTCTCTGAAAGGAAAGCCCTCTTCCGTGGCCTGGCACTCGCACCATCTGGCACGAGCAGTAACAAACAAGCACAGATCTCATCTTCTCTTTCACAGGATCCTATTTCAGGTTTACCAAATCAGTCTCTGAATGTGACATCCAATTATAACCTGATATATAAATGCAAGAGATCTCTCATTAAAATTTAACTATTGTATGATGAGATATCCTTCTTGCAGTAAGGAATTAGAGCTAGCCAAACAACACAAGGAGCTTTCTCCTGTTATTTATCCAAGGCACAAGCAACCAGCTGAGTTGCCTTCCACAGAATGTGCTGTAAACGTTGGTCTTAACCTCATTATGTTATCGCCATGCTGTGACATTGACCAGGCTTGTGCCATTTGCAATTGCCAGTAAAGTGACAGAAGCATTTTCCTCTCAGCTTCCTATCTCAGACAGTCTATAGTTTTATTCCTAAATGTACATTATCTCTGTTCTAATGCATAATTGCAGGGATAACAAGCAGAAAGCCTCCATATCAGTTACAGCCTCTCATGCAGGCTAACTTTAATTTCCCTCCAACTAGCTCCAATTTTCCGGACTGCATCAAGAGAATACATAACTGCTCTTTGCACAGGGTCATGCATGAGCTTTCTTTACTTATAAATTTAAGCAAAACCTCAGCAGAGTTGATTAACACCAAAACGATGTTGCAGCTAATACAAATCCCCTCCATTTGTACAAGTTTAATAGTTTTCCAGTCAACACATTGTAGAAGTAAAAATCTACAAACCGCTGAAGCCAATTTCAAGCTTTTGTTATTACTACATGATATTGCTCTAGCAGATTTCTAAAAGCCAATAGCAAAAATAACTCTAGTAAGCATAAAAATACAGGATCTGGGTTTTATTATACATCTGTGCATAGTGAAAATGAAAGTGCTGCCCAGTCCAAGCTAACACCCCTAGATTTGACATAAATGGTTTCATAATTTATAGCAATTATTATAGGAAGTCATACCTCAAGAAACCAGTCAGTACATGTGTGATTTTTGTCCTAAATCAATGCATAATAGTTAACCACAATTCCTTGCTAAAAGAAAAAAATTACATATTTAGCAGAAACTTCTGTATTTAATTTTAATGCTGATTACTATGGCATAGCATTGAATAAGGCTTGCAACTAAAGACAAGGCTTATGAAAATGGAGACATGCCCATATATCACTGGTTTCTGTACTCACAAATGAATATGCTTCACTGGATCAATGTCTGATCACATCTGTGAAATTCACAGACATCATAATTCTGTATCAAAATATTATTTCATTACTGTATTTCTCCTCTTACAGAAAGGCAAGAAAACACTCAGTTCAGAATTCCTGTCTTCTCTCGCTGCCCTCTATTCAGTTAGCTTTTTAAAAATGATTGTTTGAATCTTTATCTCAGACCTAAAACAAAATATTCATTGAAAAGTTATGATGAAACTTCAGAAGAGAAATATTTGGACCTAAAGGGAAAAGCAGCAGTTTACTGGGAAACCGTCACTTTCAGACTGTATAAGTTACTATCCATCATATGTTTCCTGTAGATGGTTCCTTTCTGTCTCAGAAAGTTATGGATGGCTCAGGAAACCAGGGAAGTGGAAATATCTGTGGTAGGTTTATCACTACAGAATTAAATTGCAAAATGGAAATGAAATTTCTCCTGGGCAACTAGGAACATTTTGTATAGTTTGATCAGCCTCACACTTCTGCACAGAACACACATCTGTGTGCACTATTAACCCACATGCAAGCATTGCAGACAGTCTCCATTCCTGTTTCAGATTATGGAGCTCTAGACTTCATGGCTACAGAATAAATCTGATTGCAAAATACATGCTCACAGGTCAGAAGAAAATAATGTCAAGCCAGTATAACAAATTTACAAGAAGACATCACCAACTTCAACTTCTTTCTACTCTGTTCCTTATATTGTTTGGCTATTTGAGAATAAGGTCTCAGACATGTGCAGTTCATTCTATTTGGAATAGCCTTCCTTTAAATCTGAGTTTCATCTCATTCCGAAATACTGCTAGTGTTTTTTGACCCTTGTTTCACCCTCTTGCGTCCACATTCCCTCTCTGTTGCTGGTAACTACCTACAGTCCTGTGAAGAGTTTGAGAATGCCATGAAAAATATACACAAAAATTCTGGTCCCCAACAGAAGGAATTATCTGCCAAAATATAACAATCTGAGGGGAAAAAAATACAAAAACAAACAAACAAACAGCAACAACAACAACAACAATAAAAATACTAGCAAGAGTGACTGCTGAATTGATTCCAACAAAACATGAAGTATAATTCAATGACTCAGACCAACCATGTCCTGTCATCCACACCTTTTTGAGATCACAGGACCAAAGTCTACCGGGCAGTCAGAGCTCTAGGATTTAACCTATAACACAAAACAGAGTCTTAATTCCACCAAAGCAAACCCCTCCTAGGCCAGTGGATATTAAGTACTCCATTTTCCATTTTTCATTACTTTTTTTCATTGAGGCTCAAAGAATAAATTCCTCGGTTTACTTTGTCCCTTTGCTTTTCTGAAACATCTTGTTAGAGCAATTAACTGTGCTGCCTCATCCTCAAGGCAGTAACACCTCCAAAATCTCCTGAGCCTATAATCATTTGGTTGCTTTCTCTGGTTTTGGTTTTAAATCCTACTCACAACTAACAAGGGTATTTTGATGGATTGAACAAGTGAGGTAAAAAATGCCTCAGAAAACAAACTCAGAAAGCAACACAGCTCACAAATTGCATGTATTTTCTAAGAACAGAGCAGTTTCAGTATACCTCATTCAATGATGAGGTTGTTTGAACCCGGTATTAGCCAGAGATCTCATCACTTAAATAAGGAAATACCCACACCTAATTAAGCTCAAGACAAATTAGACATCCTCTGACCTTAACTCTGCTTAATTTTTCTCTTGAAACCTCGCAAGTCAGAACAAGCAATAAGCAACATGCTGCCTTTTATAGCCAGAGGAATAATTGAATATGCGATTTTATTAAAATGTACCAATTTCTGAAAGGTGCCACACTGAGATGTTCTAACTGTACACACTGTGGTTCATCACTGTTCAACACTATATCAGGCGTAGCATAGAGATGGAAGCAAACAAGAGACATCAAACCACAAATTTCCCCAACCCAGACTGTACTTGAAATTAACTGTAAATATAGAGAATAGTTAAAAAGTTAACAATCTCCTTTCTCCTCCTGCTTCTGTTCTTAAACTTCTCTACAGAGTTACTATGGAAAAGCTCTGCCCATAGACTCATTTAAAAAACTAATAATTTGTTCCAGAAAAGTCCTGAAGTTTGCAATTTATTTTACACAACTTCAAGAGATATTTAATCAAATGGCTTATATCCAGAGTACAGCATGGATCATTTTAATTACAGTGTCTGTCAGCCACACTAACTATCCCTACTTTGGAAAAATGGCCCTTATTTTCCTCTTCTGCTTCTCTAAAAATTCTTATGTCTCAGTAAATTTTAACCAAGAAATAACATCCAGCTCTTAAACTTTGGGAGTAAGTTTTCATTCTGATCCAGCCACACAAGTAGGAGATTTGTTCACATATTTGGGAGGAAAAAAAATGTTTTTCTGCTAATTCAGTGAATCGCCTTCCAGAACTGTTTTGCATCGTCCCCTTACCAAACAGAATTCTTCACTATGACTTCATTCTAAGCCAAAAGTAAACACTCTCCTTTCTCTACCCTAAATTACCAGCATTATCATCAGCAGTGGCATAGGAACAGCTGTATTCCCCCCACAAGAAGGAAAAGAAAAAAACCATACTGTTCAACAAAACACGTATCTCGGTGTGAAATGCACGCATTAATGCACTTCCCAGAAATTAGTCATCTAGCTATGCTTCCAGGCATCACCTGGCAGTAGGACTGCCTCAACTCCACAATAGCACTTTGAAAGGCAAAAACACCATATAATCCTCAGTTAAAGGATTCTGTCCGCAAACACCTGCAGTTTCAACTTACCAAGCATTTTTGCAGCATGCAGAAATTTGCTAGCCAAAACATCACAAATCCAGCACCCGCACGGTTTTCAGAACAATCCTAAAGCCAGCTCAATTGAAACAGGTGCTCACATGAATAGAGAAGACTTAGCACTCAAAACCAATTTTTACCTTATTATGCTTTCATCTCTGGTGGATATATCTATGCTCTCTAACTTCAGCAGTCTCTCTGGAGACTTCTAAAAAGGACTTTCAAAGGAATGAGATTAGATACCATCAAGGACTTACCAGATTGGAATTGGTGGCATTGGAATCATCTTCTGGAAAGGGGATATAGATAGCTAAGGCCACACAATTGGCAAAAATAGTCAGTAAAATAATTATTTCAAATGGTCTGAGGAACGGAGTTAAGGAAATTGTTCTGAAATGTGCACACACAAATAATAATTAAAAAAAAAAAAAAAGTAAAAGATTTATAAGAATTCTGTTTAAAGAAAACATTCCAAGCTCCTTATATTCTGAAAAGAAACATATGCCTTTTTAAGTGCTTTTAGTTGCTCCCGGCCAAAAATCTTCCTAATATGTCAAAAGCAGTGTAGGCCAGTCGCGTGCCAGTGTAAACACAGATTTCTTAAAAGTTTTTCTTCTTTTATTTATTTAGATAGCATTTTCCCTATTTTCCTTCAAGTGTGGCTGTACTGTTTTTAATAACAAAAGCCTGTTCTGAAAGGCCTGTCATCTTTCCTCCCACAGTTACTTTATGTTTCTTACTCTTTTCCATCCTCCTTTATATTTTTTTCCCAATCTCTCCCATATCTCAGAGTTAAATGCAAGGGCCCAATACATGTGTACATTCAGGTAGAAAACATTTAAATGATACAATTTATGGGGAAAAAAAGCTTTATCCAAATTGAACTTATATTGTTTATAGCCGTATTATCACTATTTTCTTTTAAATTATTTAATATAGTATTCCTTTTTCTTGTATTTGTATTTCAGCTGGCTTCATAGGCAAAAGAAATGTGTATATGAGGAATGGTAGGGACACCAGGAAAATAAGAGACCCTAATGACAGAAACTACCACCAATTCAAGGCATTACATCCTGTCATCAATGCCCTCAAAACAAAAACAGAGCAAAAAAACCAGATTGGATGTTCAACGAACCAACCTTGCACAACCTCTGACGTTGCACCGATACTCAGCGGAAATCTAAGGGCTGTTTTCTACTGACTTCAATTTGCTGGCAGTGTATTTCTTTTTTATTTTTTTTTCTGTAGACTTCTTAACCTTAGTAGCTGTGAAGTGTCTCCTGTTAGACCAGAGACCAGATTTACAGCCTGTCTATATTTACTTTCCTGCAAGATCTCCCTGGCAGATAGCTCTGGGATAACTCACCAGTGCTCTGGAGGGGAATGAAAAGCAGAAAAGGACCAGAGAATGCAAGGTATAACCTGTGCCACAGAGTGCATTTGAGTGTAAGTTTATCTACCGTGGGATTGGCTTCGCAGAGTTGCCAGATGTCAACACGGTGTGTATGCTTTTGGTCAGCAAACCACCATTCTCAGCAGGTTTTAGCAAAAATAAACTAGAGATCAGGATCTCCAACTGCCTGAACTGCAAGAAATAGACAATCTCAGGCAACTGACTTCTGTATATGTTCATATACGTTCCGTATTTCACATGTAGATGAGTCAAAGGGTTCCAAACCCACTGGGCTATCTGCTGAAGCCTATGAATACTAAGAGGTGCATGCTAACATGGAGGAAGAAGGCAGGTAGGGTCCTTTCTAAAAGGAGTCAGCTGTCATTGCAACAACTAAGGCTTGACGTAAAAGTGCAAGGATAACATGACTAGTAGACATTCAGACTTAGAAACTTCAGGGCAAACTTCAGAGCTTTGCAGATCAGGATAGATACCTTACTGATGAAAGCACTGGATTTCTCAGATACCTTAAGATGCACACACAGCGTTCATTGCATAAAGACTTACACATCCATAGGCTTTCTTTTTCTTAACTGCCTTTTGCCCAGAATTGTTTTCCTTAGAGACATTTTGTTCATAAACTTATCATTACTGACGTATTTTTTTATTTTTAATTTTTTATTTTTGCTTCTTTAAGCATTGCAAAAGTAAAATGGTTTAAAATCTGAAAATACACTGCAAATCCAGCAGAATAATAAGCAGGTAAATCTTTGCAAAATAAGGAAATTACTTCATTTCACTTTTTCTTCTATACAGCTGCGCTTTCAGGCTCCTAATACTACAGTGTTTGAATATAAAATACCATAGAAGTGCCATTTGATATTTAATATGTACTGCATTTAGATTTCAGAGGTTCAAAAAATTAAGCTAAGGTCTTCTCAGTAATTTTCAGCAATTAGGAAAAGTCAGTATACAGTTAAAAAATTAAATCTTATCACAGCTCTTTGATATTGTTATTTGTCCTTGAAGTGTTTCATCTTTATAAGCACTATATATCCAATGAGACGTTCTGAGGAAGAAGCTATTTTCACAAACTCACCTAAAACCAAACAAATACCCAAAAAAATGCAAGTGTCAGCATCTTTGGATTGCTTTAATCACATTGTTTGGTCCTCCTCTTGATCTCAGCAGTGCTGTATCCTGTTTTACAACACATCATTCCCATCATTCATTGCTGATCTTATTCATTTATCAAATGTCACTATGTGCTCTTTCTCTATAGATGTGCTTACAGGGGTGCTGGCAAGTAAACCAATATTCAGCTTCATCCTGTTAGTCATCATCCATCATTTTATGCTCAAAGTATCGCACCTATGCCAGAAGGGATAATTAGTAGCAAACCTTAACCAAAGGGATTAAAAATTAGCATCCGAAGAAAGGAATAGGCAGGCAGAAACTTTAAGGATATCTAACAATTGACAACAATGCTTTTAGCAAGTTGCTCTTCTGAAAATGATATCCTAATATGCTCATATTCTGTTTTTATCTTTTCAATGTCGCACTAGACACTGGGGACAAATGTCAAAGGGACAGAATTATCTCATTGTCTTAAATGGCTTTTTTTTTTCTTTAATCATATTAACTACTGCTGAGTTCAGTACTGCCTTCCCCTGACGTGCTTATTTACCCCTAACGTACTTTTGCTTTCACATTTATTGAAGAATCCCATTAGCTTGTGATTTACTGACTATTACTGTTCAGAGTCAGTCTTGGTTTCTCTTCAGGGAAACAGGGGAGTTACATTTCTATTTCCATTTCTATTTCACACCAAATTCACAACTTCCAGTCTTGCTGATCAGATTCAGACAACTAAGGTAGACTTTGCTCCTTCCACATGAAGGAGCCAACAGCCAAGCTCTCATTGGCTTTCCAAGAAAGCAGCACTGACCCTTGCCTTCTGCAGCTCTATGTCAGTGGTAATCGTTTATCATCTGTGACAATCTGTCTCTTGTTCAGCCTGCTAGCTCTGGCCCCATACTGAATGTGCACATGTGGCAGGATCATGTTAACTATCTGTCTTTTTCCCTACTTGGAGATAATCAGTTTATCTTTCCATATATTAGGTAGTCTTACTGGTTTCAATTGAATCCCAATATGATTAACAGAGCTTAGCCTCATTTCAGGGATTTATCACATCAGGGCTTTTTTTTTTCATTAGTTCTCTATTCAACCCCATTTTTCCCCATTCCATTCTCCATACTGTAGAAATGGTGATGCTGTGTATTCAACAAAAAATCACATGATTCCAAGTCCCAGAGCTGTTTATGTGGCTAAAGCTCTGCAGAAAGAAGGGAAAGGCAGTATCTGCCATCAGTCCCATGGAGTGGCTCAATTCTGGCTTCAGATACCTTGCATATCTCCCATCAATTTCAGCTTCAGCCACGTTTTTAAAAGAATTCAATCCCTACCCTTTATCGTTTAAGCTTCTGGCAGTTTCCTACACAAGGGTACGGTTAAGGCTTCAGTCCCAAGCATTTTTTCTCCCAGCATAAATGATCTCAGTTAAGATAGCAAATACTGCTTGTGTACTTTATGTTCCCAATGGCGCCTTTCAACTTAATGTATTGATTTCTTCCCACTTATGAACAGCGCCTGATGCACACTAACAATTTGCTGTTTTCCAAATGAGAACATCAAAAAGGATATTTCCATTCGACGATGCTGATGCATGCCCTCCGGATGGGATTTTTCAGTGTTAAACACAGCAGTGCCCGGGGAGGACGCGTAGCTGTCGTGGTACCCTGTTTTTTCTGTTTCCCATACTGCTGCCGTTTTCTCTGCGTGGAGCTAGCTGTGGATATTGTTGCATTGCCAGCACTACCCATCAATTTGGCTTGCCTGGCAGCATCAATTGCAGCTTGCCAGGACAGAGCTGCCCCTGGTGTAGGGATGTGCTCTGGGGCAAGCCCTGCAGCTGCATTGGCATTCATGTTGGCATGAGCTGGACGGGGACTCCCATAGTTGGAACCTGTGAAAGGAGAGGGGAAAAAAAAAAATTGTGAAGGTATTTCTTTAACAGTAGAAAAGATAAAGCTTTTTTTCTTATAATCATGTGTATCAGTAAAATGAAAATCTGAGGTTAAGGATAAGTGTAGGGTATCCACTTAGTGGGAGCTTGTTCCTGCAATTCAAGCCCTCATTTCAAAATAATACCTGTGCAATCATTCATCATGCAAGAGCCTCCTAAGAAGCCCAAAGGACACAGATGTTAGAAGTGTCTCAATCAATTCAATCTCCAGAAATTCCACAGAAAAGAATGTGTCCTTCATTTCATTTTTTACCCACACATTTTGCAAGTTAGATTGTTTGAAAGCTTAAAAGGTATGGCTAGCTCTCACTGCTATCACACAGGCATGCAGCACTATGCTATGTGGTATCTGGCAAAGAAACAAAACAATACTCTCAAGTTCATAGTGAAAACCCTTCTGTTTTCAAGATCACTTCAAGGTAAAGGGAAATTTCAACAAGGAGTTATATTCTCTCTGCAAACATTGCCCACATATAAGTCTAAAGCAGACTGAATAAAAGGGACGCTGAAGCAGTAGCTGCAGAAAAGGGCAGAGTTCATCACTTCTATGCCCTAAATGATGCTGTGTATACAGTCAACTTTAGACCAGACAACATACAGTTTGAAATTGGAACCAATTCTTCATCCCGAAAAACTAACTTAAGAAAGCTAAATGATTGAACTGTACTGGCAGGAAAGCCAAGATCAGGTAGTTCCATGTTTTGCACCTCTTTTAGCTGACACTGAAGGAGTGTATGCTTTCTCAATCATAATAACAGAATAAATATGTCAGGCAACGTGTCTGGTATTTGGAAGGTCTTAACAATAATTTAAGGTTACCTTCCCAAGCCAGCCCAACTGTTCAGTCATTTCTCTAAAGACAGTTATGAAGCCACTTGTGCCTCTCCAATGAGGACATTTCCCTTGGGGGACTGTGGTTCCCTTGCTTTTGAACTGAAGAGACTATGCTTCAGAAAAGTGCACATGGAAAAGTTGGGTAGTAGAAAGCCAGTAATGGAGTTAGATCACCTCTTATTTCAAAGCAAGCACGAAGTCTACCTATTGACTGTGTTTCACTTCTTTAGTTTAATGCAGAAGTATGGTGTTTTTAAACAGATCAGATGTGATCCTGTAGTTCACAGGACAAAACAAACAGAAGACCATGTGCCACCTGTTTTGCTGAAAGTGCTGGATGAAAGACAAGCAAAATCAGGAGAACAAGCAAACTGCTTCAAGGTTTTGAAATAAAATAATTACCTCAGGCGCATATTTTATTGCCATTGTGCAATGCCAAGAAATCGCAGCCATAACAGCATTACATGAATTAGATCAAGTAGAATAAATACAATTACATTGGCACCTAGATTGCTACAGGGTATGCTCCTATCCAGAACGCATGCAAAATATTAAAGTTCATCTCATTGAATTGCAAGGAATGACATGATAGAGTCAGATGTTATTTTATGTCAGGTATTGCCATGAGATTTCCAGGCTGTCATTGTTTCATCACACAGCTAGAAAATCTAGAGCTTGTCTCTGTCACTGGAAAACGTCCGAGCTGCAAACCAGCCAAAGAGAGCCTGTGACTAATATTACTCTGATAAACGAAAGGGAAAGCTGAAAGAAGCAAGCAATGAGAAATAGTTAACTTACATCCCTCAGATTTTGAAACTGAAGAAAAATTGTATCCAGAATCACACAGACTAAGCAGATTTCCTAGATGAAGCAGGCAATGAAGTGGCAGACAAACTTAGTTAGTTCTCTACGACTAAGCAAATTGTACACAGCACTACTCATGGGATACGTATTTATTTTCAGACTAGTTCCAGATGCACATTTTCTCCTTAGCATCCATTTGACCTCCCTAGCCTGAAGCAGGCTGGGGAGAAACATAAATGGAAAATTACTCTAATTATTCACCCAACTCCAGCTCTTCTTTAATATCGACCCATTAGAGTGGATAAGAAAATGTGTGTATCTTCCAGTAACAGCAAACTTGCTGATCCATCGCCACTGTGTTCTTATCACGCTGACTAGACCATGTGGTCCAGAACATAAACAGCTGCTCTATTTTAATGAAGACTTTTTTGCAATTTGGGAATGTGTTAAGTTTCTCCATTATTATTGCTTATTAGTTGGGTTTCACATGAGGACTCAGGTTTCTGCACTCCGACTTTGATGTGCCAGCAAAGTTAAGGACGTGGCTTCTGGTGGCTTTGTTACTTTTGCTTCTACCCGTAACAAAGTGCTTTATCTCAAATTAACTTCAAAAGATGAGCCAGTAATGACAGATTTATATTAACAAATATTGCAAATATTGATTACTGATAAAGATCTGTCTGCTTTATGAAGCTCAGAAGCTACTGACTGTCTTTACTAAATAACTAATGGCAGTGACAAATGCCTTGATCTACAGGCTGTTTAGAGAAATAGCTTAAAGTAAAAAGAGTGACGCTCACATAACTCCACGTAAAGCATACTGAGGAACTGTGCAAAATATTTTCAAGGACAGCATAGCCAAACTTGCAATGAGAAAACAGTGCAAAACATTTCTGTAATCTGAGAGCTGCAGTTACTGGAATTGCTATTTTCATTTTGCAACATTTCAGTTTAAATCCTTCATTCTATTTCTCCACTACAAATAAAGTTTCACTGTACCTAAACCATTTCTACCATATTTATTTATACAGTTAAAAAGCTGGAAGTTGACAAGAAATGGGAACCAGAGATTCAGTTCCCATCCAAATGGAATAACTCACTAAGTACTGGGATCTGCAGCATCAGCGCCCCGCTAATCCCTCCCACCCTTCAGCAAGATGCGCTGTTGACTACAGCACGCAGGTCAGCAAAACTCTTCTCTCTCAAGTACTTTTGTTACAGATCATGAATTTCAATATTTGCATGGTAAGTAAATGGGAAAGTCAATTTGTGAATGTAACGAATAAATTTGATTCTGAGATCTTAGGGATCAACTTTCATTTCTGCAAGGAAGCAAAACTGGAGAACCATTTCAAATGTCACAGTAACAGAAGTATGGCTTCAGAACTAAGACAGAAAAGTAACATATTAAGTTGCTGTACTGCGGGAAATGAAACATGTTGCAAAAAATACCTGACACTATAAGCTTACAACTACATTGCCAAAATGCTATAAAGGCTTCAATGGTCATCAGTATGTAAGGGCTTTTTGCATTCTAATAATGTACATCTGTCAAGCCCCCTGTTAATAGATAGCTTCATTTAAAGAAAAAAAATTTAAGCAGCAATCATTCTGTATGAGAAATGATCCAGTTAATGACATGATGAAATTGCAAGTTTTAAATGCCCTGCATTTATCTATTTAGCCTCACATTTATTGGAGAGGAACTTGTGCTTAGATTAATTATTTAAAAGAAAATGGAGCAATGCCAATGTAGGTCTTCAATGTAGGTTCTTTTTTTTTTTTTTTTTTTTTTTCCTCTAATCACTAGGAACATCAGAATCCTAAGAATGAAAACCTCAGAACAATGGTGTTGCACAACTGCATTTTTCCCCAAAGCAGATGAGTACAGTAAAAGATAAAATTGGTTCAGTCAGAGTCTTAGCTGAACAATGACAGCAAGTAAACACAAAGTAGGAAACTGGTTATCACTACTAAGATTGTATGTAGACTAATTCAAGCATGCAGAGAAAAAGTTAGAAGACACGGAGGTGACAAGGAACCTAACAAGAAAACCGAACAACAAAAAGAATGTCATCATTTGTTAATATACAAAGAAAGTGGAAAACATTCATCCATTAACCAACAGAGACAGAATACACAAGATGTCAATAGGGCTTAAGGATTACCTTCACTAAAGAAAGGAAACGAAGATCAAGAGCAGGTGACAATTAAAATGAACCCACAAACCAAAAAAGGTATAATTTCCACTCATAAAGGAAAAGAAAGGATAAGTTTAGAGAGTACTTAGGTAAGTACAAACATATATTCGCTACTGCATTCTAAAACATTTAAGGAAGTCTCTGAAGTAATCTCAAAGCTGCTAACTGCTGTTCTGAACTCAAAGGACACGAGAAATCTGAGAACTGAGAAAGGACAAATGTCAACCTCATTTATAAAAAAGCAAGAAGTGAAAATTTAAATTCAGCTGTGCTTCAGTCTCCGTAAGTAAATAAATAATAACACAGGATACATAAAACAAAGAAGCATCAAAAAATACTTGGAGGAGAAAAAGAGAAAAACATCAGCAGATATGCATCTGTCATGAGTACAACTAATTCCTTCTGCAACAGTGCATGAGAATATACAGGCATGATGGAAGTGATAGCTGTCATGTTTCCCAACCTTATTAATACTTTCATCAGGTCTTGTACAACAGTTCCACAAGGACGCTAGGAATAAAGGAGCTAGAAAAGGAAATGCTGCAACAGAAGCACAAAGCTCATACAGTAGATAGGTGAGAACAGTTATCATTGGTACACAGTCTAATTGGAAGATGTGTCACACAGAGGTACCCAAAAGCCTGCATTGGATCCATTTCTGTTCAGCACCTTCATTAATGATCTGGATGATGAAATGGGGAACAGCATTATAAAACATATATGTAACTATGAAGAAGGGAGGTACAGCAAATGTACTGAAGGACAAGAATTGAATTCAAAATGAGTTTCAGGAATTGGAGAGTCTTAAAAATAACATGGAGTTCAGCAGGGAAAAAATGTGATGCATTTAAGCAAAATGAATTAACTGCCCAAATTATTTTCAGTAAAGCCTTGGGGGTTATACTGGATGCCCAGCAGAACAGGAGCTAATACTGTCATACTGCTTTCTATCCTCAAAATGCCATCATCTCAATGTAGTGCATAAACAGGTACAGAATCTGTGCAGAACAAGTGATCTTTCTCTTCCTGGGGCTTCAGCTGCAACACAATGGGCAGCTTCAGGTTCCATGCTTCAGGAAAGCTCATGTGGCTCAGTTCAGG